AGCCCACCCAGAGTGGGTCTATCAGCAGCAGAGTCTCCATCACCCCTTTCAGGATTGCTCAGGTCCATCTTAACTCCAAATACCAACTTTCATGTATGTTGTCTCAAGCAGCCCAGCCCATTGCTGCTTCCACCCTCCCTCCAGGTGCTCCCAGTTTGCTCAGCCTAAACCTGCCTGACCTCCTGTGGGGCTGAGAAGGTCAGAGGGAATCTGAGTTTGCAAGAGCTGGTTTAGTCTTGGTTTTGGGGAAGAAACCAAAGGCAATTCCTGTCTTAAACTCAAGCCTTCCCTGAGTGGGGGAACCCATTGTGAAAAAACAACAAACACTTTTTTTAACAAAAGAAACACTCAAGAGTTGTTTCATAGCTGTATTTTGGAGCATGGTTAAATCCTCTTGGAAGTAATCTCTGGTGTTAGGGAACAGGGCCATGCATTATTGAACTTCTGTTACGGTAACATAAACTGCATGGGGAGGAAGGGAGGACAGACAGGACTGACTTCATGACACTGAAGGGAGCTGGGTGGTGACTGCTGGTCCCAGCATAGACCAGCACTGACCCACAGGCCCTGGCTAGAAGGTGCAGATCAAACCTGTCTGATGGAGGAAACCCCTGTGCCATGGCAGGCTGGGGTCTCCAGGGGACCAGGATGAGATGTGACCCCAGCTGCTGCTGCTGCAGCAGCACACGAGGACCTGCTCAAGGACCCCAAAACCTCTTCCCAGGGAGTGCAGCAAGACCTCTGTACAAAAGACTGCTTCGTGGGGGAGCCAAAATGGGGAGAATCTGTCTGGCTGCCATGCCAGCAGACTGGTGCAAAAGAACTTGTCTGGGGAGTCGAGGACAAATCCTGCCCAGCTGCCACCGGTGAGCAATGCTACCCAAGGGCCAGACATGCTCCTGCGTGCACGAGGAGCCCTGGACTCCAACACCTTACAAGCCTTTGGCCAGGTCAAGGTTTATTCCTTCAGACATTGATGGACAGAGTGGCCCCTCTTGCTTGGCCTCCCCTCTGCTGTGGAGCTGCCAGGACATGCGGCTCCGTGTCCGCCCGGGTTGGGCAGGAGCCCGTGGGGATCTTGGTCCTGCCAGCTGAGGGGCAGTCGTGTTGGTCTGACCCAGGACCCAACTCACAGAATTCCTGTGTGGTTAGGGTTGGAAGGGACCTCTGGACATCATCTAGTCCAATCTGCCTGCTCGAGCAGGTTGTACAGGATCACATCCAGGCAGGTCTGGAATGTCTCCAGAGAAGGAGACTCCACAACCTCTCTGGGCAGCCTGTCCCAGGGCCCTGTCACCCTCAAAGTGTACAGAAATTTGTTCTCATGTTTAGATGGAACTTTGTGTTCCAGTTTGTGCCTGTTGCCCCTTGTCCTGTCACTGGGCACCACTGAGACGAGTCTGAACCCATCTTCCTGACACCCTCTCACTTCTCTCCAGACCAAACAGCCCCAGCTCTCTCAGCCTTTCCTCCCAAAAGAGATGCTCCAGCTCCCCTATCATCTTTGTAGCCCTTTGCTGGACTTTCTCCAGTAACTCCTTGTCTTTCTTGTGCTGGGGTCCCAGAACTGGACCCAGTTCTCCAGATGTGGCCTCACTAGGGCAGGGCAGAGGGGCAGGAGAACCTGCTGGCCACACTCTTCTTAATGCACCCAGGATGCCACTGGCCACCTAGGCCACCAGGGCACATTGTTGGCTCATGGTGAACTTGGTGGACTCCCAGGTCCTTCTGCCCAGAGCTCCTTTCCAGCAGGTCAGCTCCTAACCTGTCCCAGCCCCTGAAGCAGGTGCACAGGCTGCCTGCCCAGGGCACACCTGGGCTACAGGTTCCTATAGTTGGTGGCCTTGTCCCTGCACCTCAGGGCTGGCTCACTTAGTACCTGGACATTTTCTGGTTTCCCAGACTTCCCCAGTGCCTCCAGAGCTCCAGCTTGGACCAAAGAGTCAAAACTCTTTCTACTATACACATCCCAGTCGAGGATGGGGCTTTGGTCCAGCTGGAGCTTGAAGCCAGATTTTGTGTAGGAGAAAGTCAATATTTAAACCCAGGTTTGTTTCCTGGGCAGATAGGAGAGCACTGGGGCTGTGCATGGCAGAAATCCCCAGCTCCATCCCAGATGCCAGGCCCCAAATTCCCCCTAAACTTAAACCATCTTTCCAAGAAACATTATCCTGATGATGGGTTTCACCTCCTGAGGGAGCAGGGCCCATCCCCATCACCTGTGTCCCACCAGGACCAGCTGCAGGGCTGGGCACCTGCTAATGGGGCAGCAATTTAAGAGACAAACCCAGGCAGGGTTTGGGTTGTTTCCTTGCCTGCTCTTGCTGCAGACACTGTCTCTGTGGTGTGACACCTCAAGTGAAGCAGGGGACAAGAAGAACCAGGGTTAGAAAGAGGAGGTAAGGAAATATTTAATCATCCTATATGAGTGGCAGCCCCTGCTTTGAGGTGAAAGCTTTGAAACCTGATTTTCATTTAGATGGACCCAAGACTATGTTCAAGTGGTGGGTTTCCAGCAAGGCTTGTGGGTCCCAGTGAACTGGGGAGAACCTGCTGGCAGTGTGATTGCTCTGGTGCAGATGGAGGTGAACTCCTCAGGTGAATTCTTCAAAGGAAATGGTGCTCAGCCAGGTTGTGCCCAGGGTGTAGGAGGTTTTATAGGTGTGTGACCAGCAGAAGGTGGCCTTAATTTTGAGAGGAAAGGTGTATGTTCCTGAGCAGCCATTGTGTGAGCAGGGAAATGGGATGTCCAGTGTTGGGGTAGGCAAGAAACCAGCTAATGGGCTAAAAGGCTGGTGGGTGAGGACCCTGTGAGCTGTGCAGGAGAGGACAGCCCACCCAGAGTGGGTCTATCAGCAGCAGAGTCTCCATCACCCCTTTCAGGATTGCTCAGGTCCATCTTAACTCCAAATACCAACTTTCATGTATGTTGTCTCAAGCAGCCCAGCCCATTGCTGCCTCCACTCTCCCTCCAGGTGCTCCCAGTTTGCTCAGCCTAAACCTGCCTGACCTCCTGTGGGGCTGAGAAGGTCAGAGGGAATCTGAGTTTGCAAGAGCTGGTTTAGTCTTGGTTTTGGGGAAGAAACCAAAGGCAATTCCTGTCTTAAACTCAAGCCTTCCCTGAGTGGGGGAACCCATTGTGAAAAAACAACAAACACTTTTTTTAACAAAAGAAACACTCAAGAGTTGTTTCATAGCTGTATTTTGGAGCATGGTTAAATCCTCTTGGAAGTAATCTCTGGTGTTAGGGAACAGGGCCATGCATTATTGAACTTCTGTTACGGTAACATAAACTGCATGGGGAGGAAGGGAGGACAGACAGGACTGACTTCATGACACTGAAGGGAGCTGGGTGGTGACTGCTGGTCCCAGCATAGACCAGCACTGACCCACAGGCCCTGGCTAGAAGGTGCAGATCAAACCTGTCTGATGGAGGAAACCCCTGTGCCATGGCAGGCTGGGGTCTCCAGGGGACCAGGATGAGATGTGACCCCAGCTGCTGCTGCTGCAGCAGCACACGAGGACCTGCTCAAGGACCCCAAAACCTCTTCCCAGGGAGTGCAGCAAGACCTCTGTACAAAAGACTGCTTCGTGGGGGAGCCAAAATGGGGAGAATCTGTCTGGCTGCCATGCCAGCAGACTGGTGCAAAAGAACTTGTCTGGGGAGTCGAGGACAAATCCTGCCCAGCTGCCACCGGTGAGCAATGCTACCCAAGGGCCAGACATGCTCCTGCGTGCACGAGGAGCCCTGGACTCCAACACCTTACAAGCCTTTGGCCAGGTCAAGGTTTATTCCTTCAGACATTGATGGACAGAGTGGCCCCTCTTGCTTGGCCTCCCCTCTGCTGTGGAGCTGCCAGGACATGCGGCTCCGTGTCCGCCCGGGTTGGGCAGGAGCCCGTGGGGATCTTGGTCCTGCCAGCTGAGGGGCAGTCGTGTTGGTCTGACCCAGGACCCAACTCACAGAATTCCTGTGTGGTTAGGGTTGGAAGGGACCTCTGGACATCATCTAGTCCAATCTGCCTGCTCGAGCAGGTTGTACAGGATCACATCCAGGCAGGTCTGGAATGTCTCCAGAGAAGGAGACTCCACAACCTCTCTGGGCAGCCTGTCCCAGGGCCCTGTCACCCTCAAAGTGTACAGAAATTTGTTCTCATGTTTAGATGGAACTTTGTGTTCCAGTTTGTGCCTGTTGCCCCTTGTCCTGTCACTGGGCACCACTGAGACGAGTCTGAACCCATCTTCCTGACACCCTCTCACTTCTCTCCAGACCAAACAGCCCCAGCTCTCTCAGCCTTTCCTCCCAAAAGAGATGCTCCAGCTCCCCTATCATCTTTGTAGCCCTTTGCTGGACTTTCTCCAGTAACTCCTTGTCTTTCTTGTGCTGGGGTCCCAGAACTGGACCCAGTTCTCCAGATGTGGCCTCACTAGGGCAGGGCAGAGGGGCAGGAGAACCTGCTGGCCACACTCTTCTTAATGCACCCAGGATGCCACTGGCCACCTAGGCCACCAGGGCACATTGTTGGCTCATGGTGAACTTGGTGGACTCCCAGGTCCTTCTGCCCAGAGCTCCTTTCCAGCAGGTCAGCTCCTAACCTGTCCCAGCCCCTGAAGCAGGTGCACAGGCTGCCTGCCCAGGGCACACCTGGGCTACAGGTTCCTATAGTTGGTGGCCTTGTCCCTGCACCTCAGGGCTGGCTCACTTAGTACCTGGACATTTTCTGGTTTCCCAGACTTCCCCAGTGCCTCCAGAGCTCCAGCTTGGACCAAAGAGTCAAAACTCTTTCTACTATACACATCCCAGTCGAGGATGGGGCTTTGGTCCAGCTGGAGCTTGAAGCCAGATCTCCAGAAGCCAACTTGTTGCTGGCCTTGCTGGAGAGAAGGTGTCTTGTTCTGGCACCACGGACTTTGGATCGAAAAGAAAAAATACACAGGTATTGAAACAAGCTTAGGGTTTCATGAGGAGTCCAAGTTCATGACCTCTCCCTGCTGAGGAGTCAGTCGAGGGGGAAGGAGGAGGCTGGCATGGGTGCCCTGCGGAAGAGGAGGCTGGAGCCACGGAAAAGCTGCCCCTGAGGAGGAGAGAGCAGAGGGTCAGGGCAGCCCTGCTAGGACCTGCCCAAGGAACTGCAGCTGCTTGAGAGGGAACCCTCCAGAGGACTGTGAGGCCTCAGCACCCTGGGGTGCTGTGGAGAAATCAAGATTTCAGCCCTGTCAGTACCAGGGATGGGCATTTTCCCCAGGGGTGACTGGAGAGGGCAGAGCCACCTTGGCTGGCTGTGGGCAACACGTCTGCCAGAGGCTGCAAGGGCAGGACGTGCCGGGGCAGCCCAGCACTGCCAAGCCAGGTACCCATGCTGGAACTGGAGGGATAGAAACACAACAGGGATGCAGCACTGGAGACCTCAAGGAGCCCAAAGTCCCATGTGTCCCACTCCCTCACCTGAGCACTGAGATACCTCCAGCAGTGGATCCAGGAGGTGAAGGCAGGAGCGTAGGGAGGGAGCCCGGCGCGCAACCTGCGTGACAGGGAGGGAGGGCTGAGATGGTCTGGAGAGATGGCTCCTCATCCAGGCAGAGGTAACACAAGAGCAGCAACAAGTGCAAGTGAGGACACAGAAACAGTGTCCACACTGGGCTGAAGGCCAAATGACCAGCTCGTTATTTACAATGCAGCAGATCATGTAATTTAATTACCCCTGGAGTGTACAAACAAGGAGCATCACCTGGATACCTGAGGAGTCCAGGACTGTTCACTCTATCTACACCTTCAAGAGGAAGCAGAGATGGAGATGCTGTACCAGCAGCTTGGATCCCTTCCCATAGCACCAGTGCAGACTTCTTGCAGCAGTGGGACTGGGGAAACAAGCTTGGCCCTGCTCCTGCCTGCACCCAGTGCTGCATTAAGAGCTTGCTTTCCCTCATGCCGCTCCCTGGAGCCAGCACAATCCCTTTGATCCCTTCTGCCTCTGGACTAGTACAGCTCAGATCACACCACCACGACTCTCCTTGTTTCTCTCCATTTGAGTTTTTATGCTGCTCTTGGCTGTGCCCTCTGATCTCAAATTATAAGCAACCTGGGACAGGAAACGAGCCATGTCGTGGCACTGCCTGCCAGGTGCCCTGTAGTTTATGGTTCTGTGTGAAAGGTTTACGATGGTTTGGGGAGGATTCAGACAACAAGGGGCTGGAAGAAAGGAAGGGAAAGCCTTAGATCTTTGATGGACATACCCACAGTTGTTCACTGCCATGAGATCTCCCACCAGAAGGAATGGGTAGGTCAGCATGCTCACAGCAATCTGAAAGCACAGAAAACCAGGAGCCTCTCTAACACTCACCATATCAAACATGCTGGTTCCAGCTTTCCCATCTTAGCAAAGTTACCCTCATTTGGATTTCAAGTACAGACCAGCTGTTGTGCCCAAACCATGAGTTCCCAGCCCAGAGATGGCAGAAGAGGAGCAATGATGTGGTAGTTGCCTACGTACCCCCATCACAAACTTCGTGTAGCTCCGGATCACCGATGCCTGGCTGAACTGGAAAGAGAAACCAAAGGCATTGTAGAGGAGGTGGGTGACACCAGGCTGTCACTGTCACTAGAGGACATCCCTCTGAGCCTAAGATGATGGGCACAGGAAGAAGGCAGAGAGCCGTGGTAACCCTGCATGCCAGTGAGAATCAAGGAGGATGTTTGCTATCAAACCTGGTCCCCTAAACTGCAGCTGGAACCCAGCCCTGGCATCTTCACCACTGTCACGTGGCTTTATCCAAAGGCCAGTGTCTGCTTGTCTGAAATTAGCCATTAACCTCCTATTAACTCCTCACAACTTCAAGTGCCTTGCATGGGCTCCCTAAACCCTCCAGCACACACTTCCACTCACGTTATCATCCACGGCGTAGGTGTTGATGAAGTGAGCCAGGAGGTTGCAGCACCAGAGGAAGATGACATCCCCCAGGATGTGAGGGACTAAGCCACTGCAGAGGCAAAAAAAGAGGGGCATGAAGTGCAGCAGGGTCCCAGCACTGCCTTCTGAGCTGCCCAGCCCTCCCTCCCTCCCTCCCTTCAGCAGCACGGGGAAGGTCCACACCCCCAAAATGCATCTTTACTTTGAGAGGAACTGAAGGGAAACAGGGAAGTTTCAGGGAAGAGCTCTCCTGGCCTTCAAACATGTGCTGCCTGCTGCTCCAGCCAGATTCTCTGGAGTAGGAAGTTGGGGATCTGTCATTTGGTCACAACTTGGCCAAGTCCCCTTTTTCTACCTCAAATCCCCTCTTGGCCCAATTCCTGCTCTGAAACCCGGGCAAGACACAAAGGAAGCAGGTTTCTGTGAAGCTCCTGTTGCAGATGCTCTTTGGGATGCAGAGTGAGGAGTTCATCTCTTGGGGGAATCTCCCTCCTTTTAGAAATGAAAATCAGGGGGGTTGGTCCTGCAAAACCTGCTCTACTGCAAAGTGGGATTAGCTGGGGGCAGCACCTCAGCCCCTCTGGCCCTTCTTCCCAGCCCCTGCTGCCACCTGGGAGCACAGGGACACAGAGTGACATTCTGCTTTGGCTTACACCTCTCATTAGCTCCCAGCAGCACGAGCACCCCCCAGATTCTGCCTCTCATGGCACTAAAGCATTAACCAAGCCTTTCCAAGGGGTTTTCCCCTTTGTTGGTGCCTCAGCAGCATCTGTTGCTCAGGTGCAGGGACGGAGCTCAGCACCTCCTGCTTTGGCTCTGCGGTTGTTCCACTGCAGCAGAAGGACCCAGGTGTGTGTTAAACCTGCTTGTATCACCAGCAGATGATTTCAGACAGCTCTTATGAAAATGAGCCTGTCAAGTGTTTGCTGGGCTGGGAAAAGCTGAGGTCTCAAGGGCCTGGCCCAGCAGAAGCCTCCGACAGAAGCTGTGATATGTGAGAGCAACGGGCAGGACAAAGCAACCAAGGCTCTCTGGTTCCAGAGAAATGCTCTGGTTTGCATTTAGCATTCAGCCTTTGGAAAAAAAAAATCCCTTCTCTAACTCCAGGTCAAGTCTGAAGCAGCCTCCTGAGCTGCTGCAGATACAACAGGGGCTTAATAAAGCCCAGGAACAGAGGGAGGGGCCAGGACTGGGCCACAACAGACACCTACATAAAACCTCACCCATCTGCCCACAGAGAATGTGACCTTGGTTTGTTGCATTTGCTGTAAGGATTCCATCCCTCTCTGCTCTCCATGATGGAAGTAGAGAGGGATGCTAGGCCTGTGTTTATGGGATGCCTGGAGACCAGAGGTCTGAGAGTTGCAGAAAGGGACTAAAGAACCCAAATTAATTTGTGCTCCAGCCCTCATGCCTGGTGAGATGTCCAAGATCTGGACTAGGAGTATTTTTAGATGACAAGTCATTAAAAGCTGAAACAGCAGCAGGCAGATGGTGAAGCCTGTGGTGTGCAGTGATGCAACCCAGCAGGAAAAACCCCAGTGCTGGGGAGCTGGGACAAGCCACCTCTGAGGTGACAGCAGCAGTTTTGGAGCCCCAGGAATATCTCCCAGGCAGGCAGGACCCTGCTGCAGCTAGGAGGGGAAGCAAGATGTGACCATCCCCTAAGAAGTCTTTATCTCTAGCCAGGCACACACCCAGAGGTTGTGCTGCTGTTACTGCTGTGCAGAGGTTACAAAGCCATGAGAAAGAAGTGCATGGTGGTGATTTTAAGGGAGGGGAAGTGCTTGGGTTGTGTCAGGAAGGCAGCAAAGCAGCAGTTTGGTCCTGCAGATGCAGAGTGAGTTCCCCTTCCCAGCAGCACGATTTCCTCGTGGGGTTGTAGAGCACATACAACTTCAGAGCCCTCCTGAGACACTTTGGGTTGTGTTAAAGCCTTTCCTGTGAACTATTAAGTTTAATTAGGCTCCCAACAGTGTTTATTTTATGTGGAGGAAGGGAATGTGGTGGCTCCTTTCACGTTGTTTCCTCGGGAGGTCGAGGAGAGGAAGGGCTGCTGGGCAACATGTTCCAGCCTTGCCCCAAGGACAGGGAACATCCCAGAGGAACCTGTATTTACTGGAAGAGACCTGGGGCTGCACAGCTCAGCAGGGAAGCTGTGGGCTGCAAAAGGAAGGTGTGGTGATACCCAATTGATGGGGTCTCTGCAGACCTTTCCCCCTGGGGAAGGGCAGGAAGAGACCCCCTCTGATTGCTCCTCTCTTCCTGATGCATTAGTGATGTCAGTTGTTAATTGGAGTAAGTAAAACTTTTGAGACAATGTTTGTTTCATCTGGAGGCCCAAATTTGGTGACTGCAGAGCCCAAGGTATCAGGCCTGAATGCCCCTCCTGAAATTTCAGAGCTGCCTTTGCTATTATTGACATCACAGAGTGAGTTACCTCCCCAGCAGGGGCAGAGGGTGGTTCTGCTTTTATATAGATGTGAAAAGGCAAGAAGCTTTAATTAAGGATTTAAGCAGAAAGGTGTTGGCTAGACTGCCACATCAGCAACATCAGCAATTTGTTGTGCTTCGTAAACAGCTCAGAAGAGCCCTTCAGCTCCTTCTGGTCCAGGCAAACCTGCAGCCAGCACCAACCACCTGCTCGTTTCAAGCACCCATCAGTGGAATGTGCTTCCTTTCCAGGCCCTGGCTTTTATTTCAACAAGAGGTCTCATTGTTGCACTTGATCTTGGTGCCTGCTGCACAAACAAATGCTTTAAATGGCCCTTCACTGAAACACTGAGAAGCATCAAGGGAAGAAGAAAGGTAAGGAAAGAAAAAAAGGGTTTTCCCTGGGCTCTGAAGGTTTAATTGAAGATAAGATCTGGGGCACACTTAATGGATTTGATCTGGGCTTATGGGAGTGATGCGAGTCCTGTGGTCAGACAAGGCTGGGGAGGAGCTGAGGGGGGTTGGTAGAGCAGGCAGGAGAGGGATCAGCACCTTCAGGCTATGGGAGACAGGCTGTAAACAACAACTCACGTACACAAAGAACCCCAGGATCCCTTCTTCCTTCAGGATCCTGCCGATGGCGCTGAAGACACCGCTGGAGAGAGGACAGAGCTGTGAGTGTGCAGGGCTTGCTCCACGTGTCCTGTGTGCTCTGCAGCCACCACCTGTGGCACTGTGTGTGTCCCCCCACCAGCCACCAAGCCACGGCTTCTCAACCCCAGGAAGAGGAGCTACACCCTGCCAGGCTGCAACAACACCCAACTTGCTGACAACCGCTCTGGTGCTGAAGCTGGAAGAGCTCTGCTTGGTTTGGTGTGAGTGGCTGCACATGCCACCACTGTGGCACATCAATGTGCTTGGATCAGGCCAATTCTTAGCCCCAAGCCCCTGTCCTGCCTCTGGGAACTTGTGCCAGCAGTCATGGTTTACCTGTGGTCAGGTCTAGCAAGCTGCCAGGTGGCTGCACAAGCGGTTTTGCCCTGCAGAGAGGCAGGTGTCACTGAAAAAGGTTTGGGAAAATCCTGCAGGCTGGCAGGGCTGCAGCATCCCTTCCTTTCCCCTCTTCTGCCTCCCTGCTGCCTTCCCTTCCACCAACACCTAAAGCACAAAGGCAGGAGACTTCCCTGTGACCAGCAGAGTGTGTCACACCCACCAAAACCCCCAAGGGCACAAGGAGGAACAGGCACCCGGGGGACAGAGCCCAGCCTGTCCCTTCAACCCCTTCACCCACCCCTTAATCGTGGCTCAGATTCACTTCTTTTGGTCTCCCAAACCTCCTGGGTTGCCATGACCACTGGTGCACGGGAGCACCAGGCACGGCTGAGTCCCAGATTGGTGCTTCCATGTGCCCAAGCCCTGCAGAGCTGCAGCCATTCACCTGTATTTGACTTCCCGGCCTACGAACTGGACCATGCAGCGCATGGAGACCACTGGGAGGAAAGAGAGAAGAGAGACAGGGCTGAGAAAGCAACAAAGCAGCCTGGGTCGTGATGGATGGGAAGGAAAACACCATCTGATGCTTCTGCCCTCAACCTGCATCACCTCCAGCTCCTCTAGGTGGTCCTGATTGCTGCAAGACTTGTTAGAAACTGGAGCTCTCCCCCAGGATGGGATGGGAAGGGTTTTTGGCTCTAACCCCAACAGGATCTCTTGGATGAGCTCTTGGATGAATGGGAAGAAGAGCACCTTGCTGCTTGGCTGGGTTAGTTCCTGAAGGCCAACCCAAGATCCAGCCTCCCTAAGCAACCACTCAGCCCCTCATCTGCTCTGTGGTCTCATATGAAGTCATTTCTGAGGAGCACGTCGAGGCAACGGGGTTTTGGGGTGTTCCTGTCTAGAGAGGAACCCCTGGGAGAAGCCAGGACTCACCATGCAGCGGGTGGGAGACAACCCTGGACACACACTGCATCATCATCTCGTGAGAGGTCTGGGGAGGAGAGAGAAAAAAACACAACCCACACCTGTAGGAAAAGCTGCAGGAGGAGACCCTTTCCCTCAGGGTAGTGAAACCCACCTCAGGTCCTGCTTTTGACACCTGCTGCTTGTGGTGAACCTCTGCTCCTACAAAACACTTCACAGCTGGACACAGTGGCTGCTAAACACCCCAGGGCCTTCTCACCCAGAGTTTCTCTCCAAGTGATTTCATCCCAGCCCACAGTTTCAGCGTCCTTTGCTCTACAGGCACATCCCTACTGCCAGCTCCCTGGTCACTCATCAACGTGGAACATCCCCCTTCTCACCTCTTTCACCACTTTCCTAAGGGAGGTCTTCACATCATCCTTGTTAGACACGTGCTCCATGTCTTCTGGTGGAAAGGCCTGAGTGGGGGGAGAAGAAACATGGTCAAAACAGATGGAGATGCTGACCCACAGGAGGAAGCCATGAGAAGTTGTGTGCCAGGTTGGAGAAGAAAGGCAAGAAGGAACATAGGAGGAAAAGGAAGGATGGAAAGTGCAACAGGAAGAGAAGGGTCATGAAACTGCTCAAAAAAAGAAGGCAAGTGGTTGTTCACATTATCATAGAATCATAGAATCATGGGATGGTTTGGGTGGGAAGGGACCTTAAATATCATCCAGTCCCAACCCCCCTGCATGGGCAGGGACACCTCCCACCAGCCCAGGTTGCTCCAAGCCCCATCCAACCTGCCCTTCAACACTGCCAGGGGCTTCCACAATTTCCCTGGGCAACCTGGACCAGTGTTTACTAAATCTGTTTAGAAAGTAAGTTGTGGAGATGGGGGCACTGCTCTCCTCCTGTCCTGGAGGACAATTCCAAGCCCTTAGGAGTCTTGGATTGAGATGGAGAGGGATGGGTGCTTTATTCCTCCCCATGCAGGGGTGCCTGTGTGCAGGCACGTGCAGGCTCCACTGCAGTAGCACCAAGGAGCTGATGGATGGAAAGAGAAGATGACCTTTTACCTTCTTCACACTCCCCCTGGTGATGGTTGATAAAGTGCTGGAGATGAGGCGAGGAGTCAGACCACGGAAGAGGCCTCTTTTCCCATCCACTTCCACAATGTGTCTGGCTGGAGAAGAAAACACCAAGGCTGCTGTCAGTTGGGAACCAGCCAGCTCCTGGAGAGTCCCCAAACACCTCCAGCCTTTGGCCTGAAACCACTCTGGAGCTCAGCACAGCAGCTGCTTGCTCTGCAGTCCCACTGTAAGTGGTTTGTTCTTCCACTTTTAAATCCATTTCACACAGGGATGCAAAGAAATCCTTCAGTATTCCCTGTCTGAAAGGATAGTTCCAGGATTTGGGGCTGCTTCTTGGTTTTTTGATTGTTTTGCTCACCCAAAACAAGGCAGTTTGGACCAAAGCAGGGTGGAGAGGGATGATCTTGTGTGTTGAGTGGTGTCACCTCCACCCTGGGGGCTCAGACTTGGGGTTAATATGGATCTCACAAACCCAAGGGTTCAGCTCCTGCCCCATCACCTTCTTCCCTGGCAAAATTCCTCAGGTCTCCAGCCAAAAAATGATGCCAACAGATCCAGCTTCTCCCTGACAGAACATGGTGGGCACTGTCCTCCTGCTGTCCCATGGGAAGCTCTGCACACCTCCACCCCCCAACACTGTAAATCCATTTGGAAATTGGATTTGCCAGAAGGGCAGCACATTTCCAGCCCTGGGTGTCCTAGGACGGGTTTGCAGAGCTTTTCTTCTGCTCCTCTGGTGGGTCCCCCAGACCCTGTGGGGCCCATTTTGGGGTCATCTCAACTCTGTGCTCCCCTTTCCTTGCTGGGCAAGGTCACAGAATGTTCATCCACTTCTCCTGGGCTGCTCCACCCATAAAAAAACAGGAAAAAAATCCTTTTTATTCTTTCTTTTTTTTTCCCCCTTCTCAACCTATTTCTTCCTCTCTCAGTCCCTTTAGGGCTCGACCTACAAGACAAATGAGCAGGGCAGGGGGATCAGTTGTTATTGCAGGGCTGTTTTGGGAGGAAAAAATAATGGGCACTTTGTTACCTCTAATAGACAAAACCTCCCACCCAAAGCCCCACCAGCCCCTCTGTGCCTGTCACAGGAAGGGGACACAACCTCAGGGCCACCCTCTCCTTGTCCCTGACAACAGGGAGGGGTAAATCTGACAGCTCTGCAACCGGTGGTTGGATGTTTATGTCTCATTGCAGCCTCAGGATGATCCCAAGGGGATGGAAAAGCATTGCTGGAGGTGGGCTGGGAGGACCCAGCAGCTCCCAGCCCTGGTTTTGGGCAGGAGGGTTGCTCACCATAGGTGAAGAAGCCAGGCAGGTACAGGACCTTCCTTCCCAGGACGTTTCTGCCCACGATGGGAGGTAGTGGCTGGCCCCCCCCCCGCATTGCTGGAGGTGGGCTGGGAGGACCCAGCAGCTCCCAGCCCTGGTTTTGGGCAGGAGGGTTGCTCACCATAGGTGAAGAAGCCAGGCAGGTACAGGACCTTCCTTCCCAGGACGTTTCTGCCCACGATGGGAGGTAGTGGCTCGTGTCCAACCTGCCAAGGGACACCCTGTGAGTAGGTTCCTGCCCCTGTCCTGGTGTTCCTGAAGCCACATGGGCTCAATCTCCCCATCCATGAGCTCCCCAAACCCATCCATGAGCTCCCCCCACCCCCCATCCATGAGCTCCCCAAACCCATCCATGAGCTCCCCCCACCATCACCCTCAGGGACGTGATGGTCCCATGACATGGGTGATCCTTTTCCCATCCTATAGGGTCCCCTGGGGACAGGGAGGGGGATCTTCAGGTCCTCAGGGTACCCATTCCATAGGGGTTTCCCGCCCCACTGCAGAGGGAACCCCCAGCCCCCCCATTTTCAAGAGGTCTC